TCTCACCGTACGTAACCAACCGTGCTAATCTGAGCTATGCGGGCAGCGGTAGCTCAGTGCACAACGCCCAGCCGATGTTGACGCATCGCGCCAGGTACTCATTTGAGGCCGAGTCGACCTAGGGGAGGTCCAGGGGCCGGCGCAGATAATCGCCACTGGCCGTGAGCGGGAATCGAACTCGGGTGGCCAGGTTCGTAGGGCAGCGCGCTCAACCACCGCCACGCTCGCACGCGTGCCACCCCGGCCTTAATCGGTGCTCGCGAAACAGCATTTTTGCCCCAACAGCAGCAGCAGCAGCCTTGGTGACCCAACAGCCAACGTCCTTGCGCGTGTCTTTTACGTCGCACTGCAACGTATATGGCGTGTGCATTATAAGCAGTGTGCATGCGCACGCGAGCGTGTTTAATAATCCCGCTGTATTTATAGCACGGCCTGCCAGTTTTCGACAAATCACGCCCTCGGCGTTCCGCAGAGTTTCACCGCATCGCACGAAGCGAGCGCGACGCATTGGAGCAGCAACACCGACGACGTCGACCGTTATCGACCCATAATGTAGGGTGGGGTGGGGGGTTTGGGGGGTTAGATCGCGTAAATATGTAAATATGTCGTTAAATCCGCCACCACCCGACACAGCCAATTCGTAAGGGTCCTCACGTAAAACAGAACGTGGCCAATTCGTCACGAGTACAGCCACACCGGTGTGTTGGAGAGCCAAGCCAGAACATTTACAATCTGAGTGCGACGTTTCGCCAGTAATTACAACCGGCATCATCAGGCGGCTGCCAGATTTGTGGAGAAGTCCTCCTGTTTAGTTCCTTAAAATTAGAGGGATACATGTGATGACGTCACTTGTGAGCCCATCTTATGGGAAGTGGAGGAGGGGGGGGGGGTGACTGGTGACGATTAATGAATGCATATAAATTACAATGGGTATCCATTGCCTACGTGTTAAAGCGTTATCAACCCAATTGTCCTCAACAACCGTGACAATCTGTGCGTCTGGTGAGCCGCGGCCCCACTGACCACCCTCCCCCTTCCCCTCCCAACCAACCGCCCCCCCCCCCGCCCGCTCCCGTTCCTTTAGAAGTGAGGGAGGGCGATTAAGGTCTTAAAATGGAGCTGGTGACCTCGGGATGTCACCAGCGGTAAGCTTCGACGAAATGCGGCGCAGCGAGCTGGCGGTGGGTGGTGGGAGACTTTCGCGACGATCAGGACGAGTCGAACAAGGTCTTCTGCTACTGTACAATCGTCGTTCGGCGTTGCCAAGACCTACATCGAACGCATTTCAACGCCGCGGTTTTAATAGGGGGCCGCATTTTTTTTTTCGTTTCGCGGCCTGATTGAGCGGTGAGTTATCCAGCGATGCAGAACATATTGCGTGAAAAGGTCAACGTGTCCCCCCCCCCCCCCACGTGCACGACCAATGATTGAGACGTGTTCATCGTGGATTGGTAATCGCTGAGCCACCCTGGAATACTGCCGTTGACTCGACACGAAGTGGTGCGCATTTTATCGCCCCCCCCCGTCCCCGCACACAGATGATGGTTTAATTAGTCTCCTGAGCGGGATATGAAACTCGCGATCTTCCAATGGCGAGCCAGGCGCTAGGGTCACAGAGCGGCCCCCGTCAGGTTCACTGCAGTACATAAATATTACACACACCTCATCCAGCAGTGGATTGACAAAGGGCTGATTTTTTTTCGTCTGTTATCTACATCCGCGGTATGTGTATATCCAGTTGGGGGAAAAAACACTCTTTGAAATAAAGTACAAATCGATCCAATAGCAACGTTGGGTAAAGTGGTATTCATTTTTAAAAAGAGGCGATATATAATGGAACGAGCTATTGTGGACGACTGGGCAGACATATAGGGATTGTGTGTGTGCCATTCGCTCCCTCTCTCTCTCCCTCGCTCTCCCACTCTCTCTCTCCCTCTCTTCTCTTTATTCCGCTCGTGATGTGTGCTCTCCCATCTGTCACACGTGAACTGCTGACGCCGGTAAAAAGAAAGAAAAAAAAACCTCGGGCTGGTTCACGGCGAATGGAAATTGAGAACATGGCACGCACGTACACACATGCACACAGGCACACACGGAGAGAGACACACATACAAACACAGCGTGTATGTACAAAGACACGCACACATGTACAGACATACAACAAAGACAAACAAACACGTACGTACATGCACGACACACACACTCACATAGGGACACACTCCCACAACAAAGACCTCCCGTGTAGCCTGAACATTATCTTGGGGCCAGTGCTGTCAGCGAGCATCTATTAAGGGCACTGAACACGTGGTGTGGTCAATAAGCTCCAACGACTTCACTCCCCCATTGATAAGGTTGATCGCCACATCACCTACCAAGCCACGCACTCATTTCAGGCCTATTTGAACGATTGGAGGCCCAGAATAGGTTCTGGATACAAATTGTTAACGAGCGTTGAACATTAATGGGAACCCTTAACATTGATGGTAAATAGGCACATGCATGCACACTCATGCACACACAAGGACACGGGCGCGTACATTAGAAAAATAGCATGAAAAAGTGACGTTGAGATGCGCATATAAAGTGTGCGTATTTTGTTACTCCTAAAATAATAAACGGCAGGGAAAGCAACATCTTCATTGCTCGTGGAATTATTTACACTGGAATAATTCAGCTCCGCGGACCGCGACGTGCCAACGTTGAACAATTCCCACGACAATACAACATTGGGCACAGGACAACCCGATTGAGTGTTCGTGCAGATGCACCGTTTCTTTTTCAAAGAATGACCAGGGAACACCACGAATTATTACCGTGGGAGACAAAGTTATCATTATGTGTCGCAACCAGCGTTTTTCAAAATTAGAATCTAGAATTGTGTAACATGCCCTATCATTACAAAATGAAACCATTATGCCTTCAATTAACGTACAACTTTAAAGCAAATCACCGTGCAAGCAACAAAGAGGACTCAGAGAGTGAATCGAATTAATAACAATGGATCTGTTTTCTTTCACCAAATGGGTTGGGCGGACGCTGTGGCAGACACGCTCGACTCACAACCGGTAATCGTCTGAGTTAAATCTCTGGTTACGGCTCACCTCATCGGGATTTTCATCTATCCAAATAGCCGACAATGTGAGTACCACTTTTGTGGGAAGTGAACATCGGATTGGCCTAAGAATAACAGTCCATCGTTCACCCAAAGTAACATGAAATTGTCACCACCAGTGCAGCGTCACCAATGGAGATACCCACTGCACCACGCTCGCATGAGCCGCACGCTTTGAATTTGACCTCACCCAGAAAAAAAGACTGAACTATCCACATTTCATTTGTTCCAGCAGGATCTGGCAATTAGGGCATTTCGCATATTCCTTCTCGGTTGTGCGTGTCCACGTGCGGGAATCGACGATCCACGATAATAGAGGGCGCAATGCAAACGTTGGTAACGTACAATTGAGGAACGCCCCCGTTATGTCCACGTTGCGCGTTGTACCACGCGCTCTTCAATGCGACGATGCTACACTGCCACGGCTCTCAAGAGTCGAGCAGAGCCGCATTGATTTGCACATTTGCGAAGCAATTTTCCCCGAGTGCTCGCCGATTTTCGGCGGTGCAAATGTTAATACAGCGCTGGCAATTATACGGGAGGAGAAGGGAGAAGGAGAAGAAGAAGAAGAAAAACACCAACCCAGCGAGGCATTGGCGCTGATTATTAGACCAGTCCACGGGCAAATGCGTGCGCGTAGCCGCCACTGCTACAAGGACGGCGGTTGCGAGTGGAGATTGGCGCTGTCCGTGGTGCTGAATCGTCCATCGGTTGCAGAAAAGCCCTTCCGCGCCTCGACACAGAGGCCAACGCGTAGCGCCGACTGCATTGTTTCGTAAGACAAATGTCAACATAGAGGGGTGATAATGTAAAGTGAGTGTAATTAATAGCGGACCGGAGACAGCTTGCGTCACAAACCGACCCCCCCCTCCATCAGCCTTATGATTCCAAAGTGGATCTTTCCGGTAGCGTGATTGATTTTGCTCATCCGTAAAGAATTCTGTACAAGTGATGGGAATTGTTCTTGGCCGCTCATTTGTTACTAAAGCTGAGGCTGCAAGCTGCGTGTCACCCGGAACCTCGTGCACACACACACACAAAGTCGAGCACACACGCAGTCATATACGCGCACACGCAGTAGGCACACACCCACCCACATGCACACACACACACACACATGCGCGCGCGCAAGTACAGCCACCAAATGGTGTGAGCAGACAGACGGAGCGATCCACAAAAAAATTATCAGCGCAATCCCAGTGTTCAAAAAAGTCCACACAGCGCAGAAGACCGATAACACATACCAGGCGCAGGAGAACGCTGGGTTGCCGCAAAGGCGGAAATTAGTTTTTTTTTGCAGGATATTAAAAAAGAAATCCAACAGTCTATACGAAGGGATGGAGTGAGGGGCGGGTGTGGTTGCTTAGTGGATGTGTATGGTTGGTGGGTGGGTGTCGGCGTGAGTGAATGAGTGGTTGTTGGAGTTGTGGTGGTGGTGGGGGGGGGGGTGTTAGAAGGGGCCCCTTTACAACGAAATAGCAGCAATCATTCGCAATGCCGCAGTACGCTCTCAGAGACGCACTTGACGAGCCATTTCCAAAGTTACACAACACTTTGGCCATTAGGAGTGACCATAAACCGCGCGGCGTGCCACAGTCAAACACTCTCAACCGATCAATTATATATTTTAAAAAAAACAAGACAGAATACGGTATGGTACTTTATAAAGCAGCGTTACTATCAGCAACACCACTCGTTACCGCCACGACCATCGAACAACTAAACTTGTGCAGAGTGTTACTGATACACGGAACCCACACACACACACACACGCCACATCGAGGAAGAGATGCGATGCGCTACATAGTTCTTGCCTTCCCAGTTCTTCTCGGTTCCACTGTTCCGTCCTCTATATGGGCAACAAAAAAAATCTCGCCTTGTTACTTACCGGGCCTGGCGCTGCTGCTGTATCGACGTCTCTCCACCAGGAACGTCCGGAACAGCCGAATTAAAAAAAAGAAAGATGCAAAAAAAAATATTTCTACAACCCCCACTGAACAGATGAAACAACGCAAGGTCGATGAGCTGACCAGAGGAGAGACGACTGCTTTATCTCGCCTCGGAGAATGATAATGATGCTGCTGCTGGTGGTGGTGTAACGAAGCTTTAAAAAGAAATCACTGCAACGGACCTCTTCCTCGTTGGTTCGTTGTTCGTCTTCACCGTAACCGAAATCACGATCGGTGTAGCTGGGAGCGGTCGTGGTATGAGACGGCGGGGGAGCGGGTGTGTAGGTGGTGTTGGTGGTGGCAGGGGCGGGGTGCGTAGGGGGATGTGTAAGCGTGGAGAGGAGAGGGTGTGTGTGTGTGTTGGGCTGGGTGAGGCTTGGGGGAAGGGTTGGCGGTGAGCGTGGGGAGGGGGGATGAGAGGGAGGTTGGGGGAGGTGGTCGTGGAGATGGCCGTGCAGTGGTAGAAAGCTTTGTGGGCGGGCTTTTAAAAAATACGTTTAAAATAATAATAAATGAAGTCGAATTAAGGCTGTGCAGTCGGTTTTGGGATTTTTCTTTCTCTCCACCACTATTTGTGAAGCTGCAAGGGGCTGTGGTGGTGGTGGTTTTACAGGCCGCCTCGCGCACGCAAATGCGGATGATAGAAAGGCGCGCATGTGCGTGCGGTGCGTATACACAGAGATTGACTCGCGCACACAGACACTGTCACACACGGCGTGTGGTGCACACAGACACTGTCACACACGTGCGTGCGATGCACACAGACACGAGCACACACGTGCACACAGACACTGTCACACACGGCGTGTGGTGCAACACAGACACTGTCACATACGGCGTGTGGTGCACACAGACACTGTCACACACGTGCACACAGACACTGTCACACACGTGCGGGCGATGCACACAGACACGAGCACACACGTGCACACAGACACTGTCACACACGGCGTGTGGTGCACACAGACACTGTCACACACGTGCGTGTGGTGCACACAGACACTGTCACACACGTGCGTGTGGTGCACACAGACACTGTCACACACGTGCGTGTGGTGCACACAGACACTGTCACACACGGCGTGCGTTGCACACAGACACTGTCACACACGCGTGTGGTGCACACAGACACTGTCACACACGTGCGTGTGGTGCACACAGACACTGTCACACACGGCGTGTGTTGCACACAGACACTGTCACACACGGCGTGTGGTGCACACAGACACTGTCACACACGTGCGTGTGGTGCACACAGACACTGTCACACACGTGCGTGCGATGCACACAGACACGAGCACACACGTGCACACAGACACTGTCACACACGGCGTGTGGTGCACACAGACACTGTCACACACGTGCACACAGACACTGTCACACATACACTGTCACACACATAGTGCGGTCACACAGACACTGTCACACAGACACTGTCACACATACGCTGTCACACAGACACTGTCACACACGTGCACACAGACACTGTCACACACATACACTGTCACACAGACACTGTCACACACGGAGTGCGGTCACACAGACACTGTCCCACACGTGCACACAGACACTGTCACACAGACACTGTCACACAGACACTGTCACACACGTGCACACAGACACCGTCACACACGTGCACACAGACACTGTCACACACAGACACTGTCACACACGTGCACACAGACACTGTCACACAGACACTGTCACACACGTGCATACAGACGCTGTCACACACAGACACTGTCACACAGACACTGTCACACACGTGCACACAGACACTGTTACACACGTGCACACAAACACTGTCACACACGTGCATGTGGTGCACAGACACTGTCACACACGGCGTGCGGTGTACACAGTGGCACGCGCACAAACGTGTTGTGCAGTGCACACAAGCACGAGCACACACGTGCAGTGGGACTAGCGCATCACGTGCAATGCACACGGTGGCACGATCACACAATGACACGGCGCACACGCGTGCATCACACAGTGGTTCGAGAACACACGCGTGTGATGCACACAGTGGCACTAGCACATACGTGTGTGGTGCACATGTTGGCACTCGCGCACAGTGGCACTCGCACACAGTGACACTAGCAAACACGTGCGGTGCACACCGTGGCATTAGTACATTAGTGGCACACACGTGTTTATGCGGTGCACACGTGTGTGTCACTAACACACACACACACGCGTGTGCGTGCGATGCACACCGTGGCACTCTCACACAGTGGCACTCTCACACAGTGCCACGAACACACTCACACGTGTGTGTCACTAACACACACACACACACGTGTGCGTGCGATGCACACGGTGGCACTCTCACACAGTGGCACTCTCACACAGTGCCACGAACACACTCACACGTGTGTGTCACTAACACACACACACGCGTGTGCGTGCGATGCACACGGTGGCACTCTCACACAGTGGCACTCTCACACAGTGCCACTAACACACTCACACGTGTGTGTCACTAACACACACACACACGCGTGTGCGTGCGATGCACACGGTGGCACTCTCACACAGTGGCACTCTCACACAGTGCCACGAACACACTCACACGTGTGTGTCACTAACACACACACACACACACGCGTGTGCGTGCGATGCACACGGTGGCACTTTCACACAGTGGCACTCTCACACAGTGCCACTAACACACTCACACGTGTGCAGGGCCGCGCTCCCCGCACTAATCGATCCATCTGTCCGCCAGTCACGTGCTTCGCATGCAGCCGCCGGCAGCCAATTGCGTGGCTCGCTCAAGGTCGTTCCCTCTCCGCTCGCCACAACCGCGTGCACAGCGCGCGCCGCGAGTCACGTGGTGCGCGTGTGCGCGCGCGCGTGCGTGTGTGTGTGTGTGTCTGTCTGTCTGTGCGCGTGTGTGTCTGTGTTTACACTAATGCACGTTCTCTAGCCCCAATAGTCTTAACGAATGTATCTGCATTTGTGCGCGTGTGTCTATACACTGACACTGCCAGACATTTGGGTGCGCGTGCTAATTGTTACACCATCTATAAGACTGTTTGTGTGTGTACATGCCCCAGTGGTCTACAGGGGGATCTTTCCCTTCTATTGTGTGTGTTGGTGTGCTGCGCGTTGTTGTGAAAGTGCATATGCACGAGTAGACATGTGTATGTGTGTGTGCAAATTCGTGCGCTCTCTACAATATAGTGAATGTCGTTTGGATCGCTGCCCGAATCCAACAGTCTCAAGGGACATCGTGACCGGTTCAGATATCACCAGCCACTGATCTTGACCACTGCCAGGAATGGAACTCAGGTTTTCGCACGTTCCACGCCGTTGCGAATTACTGTTGCCATAATGTGGATAAGGTAAAGCCTTGGTCTCTCTACAATTACATAAGCATTCTAGTAATGGGTTCCTGCAAATTACATGCTAGAATACGTACACTATGACCTTGTGAATTTTTTTTGTTATTTAATCAGCGCCTTTCATGTGGCTTCACAATAGCGCCCACGCGTTCAGTCGAGATTCATTTGCTAGGTGGCTGGATGGCTCAGAGGTCAGAGCGTTGAGCCCACGACGCTGATATCCTGGTGGTTTTAATGCAGAGTTTCAGCCACCTGTAATTAAACTGGGTTCTGAGGTGTAGTCAGTTGATGGTTTCAGCCCAATCACCAGTGACTCACACACACAATAAATACATAACACCTTCACATTAAATTTAGCTTGACTCTTAATTTGGCCAAATTCCCGCTCTGAGGATTCAAAATTGCGGGCACGACTGTCACGTGACACACAATCTCATAGCGGTGCCGTGAGTGCGGCAAAGTGCACCCTCTAGTGTTGAACGGAGGGCGAGCGCACTTGAAGGAGATCTCGAGGCGAAGGTCGTCACGTGAGACATCTCTCCCGCAGCAGTCCTTCCTACACACAGGGCGCGCTGCTCCGTGACATTTCTAAACTAATTCTTCATCTCATAACGTGATGTAGCGTGGAATAGCACAAATGGAATACATTGGGATAAAATATGTTCGCCCCATCCCCCCATTCGACCCCTCCCTCTCTACATTCCCCCATTTATTTTTAACCCCCCCCCCCTCCCCCAGATTCATTTGCAAGCACTAATTGGATCCGTCACAACGTCGCCCAAGTCAGGCCAGATCTTGCTTTTCGCAGCGTGCTGTTTCCGTGACCTCCATCGCTTAGGTCACTGGATGCCAATTTTCCTGACAAAACAGCATTTTTTTTTCGCCATCCTTATAAAAGCCCTCCATCCATTCTTCTCAGTTCCTTGACATTAACGGGCTTTCCCCCAAAATACAGAGAAAAATAACGGCTATGCTGTGTGTGTTTTTATTTTAACAGTCTGCGCGCGTGGAACGGAACGCGGGGTCAGAGACACCCCGAGAACAATTCTCATTTAATTCGTAATCAGAGTTAAGCCGGGCGCTCTTCTCGTTAAACATTTGCATCCATTTTGAGCTTCTGCCGGTTTGTGAAGAGCAAGGCACGCAACATCACCGCCACTGTAGATTCGATCCAACAAATTAACCTGCCGATATTCTACAGCCATTTGCCAATCCACTGCTGGATGAGGGCCCCGACACGCCGTACCAGTTTTGAGGGTTGTTTGACCATACTTCACCATGCTGGTCGCTGTGAGTTGATCATGGGGTGGGGGGGTTCAAATATTACTCGCAACTGATGTTAGCCGTTGATCTCAAGTTGCCAGGTTCATAGCGCCCTGCGCTAACCGATTAGACACCACTCTACCCCCCAGGATAGAACACGGTGTGCAAAAGGCAGAACATTAATTTACGTAAAAACCAGTACTATAATAGCCTTAACTTAAAAAAAAAACAAATTAGCCCTGCGAACGTCCACGTAACGGTTTGGAAGGGTGACGTTACATCGTGAGCCGGAGCCGAACCCCCGTGGAAGTGTCACCACCGGTTCACGTTGGCAAACAACAACAACAACGGGGGATTTAAACTAAAGTTGGAAAATTGACCGAGGGAAGGCTGCGATGGGGGGAGGGGGCAGCTGAGCGATAGGAGTCGATCGAGATCTACAATGGCCCAACGAGTCGTGACCTACATTATACACGTTTCCAAAGCAATTTACTTGGCTATATATATATTGTTCCACCCCCAGATGAAATGTGAATTATCTGGAAAATGCAGTACAGTGTGTAATGTAGTCTAAGTGATGAAAAAAAGAGGTAGACAGTGGGAGGAGGAGGAGGAGGATGGTGGTGTTATTTTTAAAGAAAGTGAATTGAATAGTGCAAAGGGGGTAAATACGAAAGTGCACAAAGAGGAAACATTTCCAATCGGTGAGGATTGCTCGCTGCTGTGG